AAATAATTCTGTATCTATTCAATATAACAATTCAATATTAATTTATTATATAAACTTATTATTCAGTATATATATATATTATATTCTGTATATTATTTGTAATTTTTTTATTATTTTCATATATATTTTTTCATAGGGAGGGTAGAGTTTAAATAAATCAAGCTCTTATATCAAGAGTATGTTTACTATCCAAGTCTACCCTGTTTATATGAAGCCCTAGCCACAATTAATTGAAATAATTATTGCAAATAATTGAAATATTTCTTCTATTGATATGCAAAAAATTCCTGCTAATCCTCTATACACAAATTTGCAAAAACAAAAATCAACAAAAAACAACAAGAAATACATAAAAGCTATTAAAAAAACCGAACTCACAGCTCTAAAAAAAAAAAAGAGAACCATAACAAATTATTGGAAAATGATATTTCTTTGGTTGAATCGATAAGTGAGAATAGATTCATATCTTTTGAATTAAATAATATTATTTGGAGACCAGTAAATAAAATTAGTAAAAGATGACATCTACTGAACCAAGCAACGGTATAAGAAGTGATAATTGATTTGATAGCTTTTAGAAGCACTATTCAGTGATGATATATGTATGTATTGATATCAAAGTTGATGAATTATTTAATGTGCAATAATTAATTGAAAGAGATAAGCTGTATAGTTTAGAGAATAACGCATTTGAGAGTTTTTTATAATGGTAAAAATTCCAAGTCTTCTAAATAGTTTCTATGTAAAATTTCTTCTAATAGAATTTCTTGTTCGCTACTCAAAGAAAAAAGGTTTATTTTATTGATATTTGTCTATTGAATATAAAGTCTTCAAAAAAAATCCCTCTTGGAAGAATGTTTTGATCAAAATTGGGTACAGCTTGCCCACTTTTACTTTGCAATTGCGACCTCTACAACTCTTCACCCCATTTTTGGAACTCTACATTAGATTGGGAAGTCTATCATCAGGCTAATTACAAACATAGTGCAGATGATATAGTGTTGATCACTAATTAAGATTTTATATAGTAAATTCTATGATCGGCATGCTATATTAAATTACTATGAAAAATTGTCTTTACTTCGCTCTTAATTCCTTCTGTAATATTTAATATTTTTTAATTCTATAAAAACAAGATATTTATTGAAAGGTGTCTTTATAATGTGACAACGCTAGAATTTTATTTTACTAATAATAAATATCTTCAATCGGCAGTTGAAATTAATTTACAAAAAAGTCATATGACAGATTTTACATTGTACAAAAGATAACGATAGTGATGATTTTTATTTCATATTTAAGTGATTTTATACAGTAACAACATTAGAATTTTCTACTTTAGTGACCAACTAAATTTTTACCATCATTTTTTGCACTTCCAGATAAGAAAAGTGTTAAGAATATTATATATGTTTTCTTCTTTGGGAATTTTATTTTCTGATTTCTCACTAATTTCAGAATTTTTTGCTTCTTGCCGGATATTTTGCAACATTTCTTGAGAAATATCTTGAACCCTACTATCTGAGCAAGAAAGTTGGATGTAAGATTCTTGTAATTGAGGATCCATGTTTGGGTGGACTTTTATGTTATAACGATTAAACAGTCCTTCTAACTGTTGCTGATGCACCACGATACTCCATACGCGAAATTTAATAAATTCGTGTATTAGAGAAAATTTTGCTAATTCTGCATTGTCAGAATTTGCAAAATTTTCGAACTCTTCAAAAAAATCATAGTGTGACAATGCTTCCAAGAGTCCAAATGTAGTTGAACGCCTATTAGATAAATCTTCTTTCAGAAGTTTGACATAGGAGATTTCTTTGGGAGTGGAAATTTTTGACGAATCTTTATTAAAGAATACCTTTAAAAAGGCACGAGCAAAGTCTGGTCTATTTTCTCCTCCTAACCAACAAATGCTTAAAGGCAAATGAATCCAGGTCTCTATCCATTTAACAAACCCTCTTAGTGCATGTTTGATTCTGTTGTGTAAGGATTCACAAAATATTTCAAAATCTACTGCATTTAACTCACACTCAGCATCAGCTAATTCATCCCCAAATAATATATAAATATTTTCTAGATAATTTTGTAGCTCTTGAATCCACAATATTATTTTATCTGGCATTTCATGAGCGCGATGACCTGGTGGAAGAGTGCTTATATTATTATGCTGGTAGATTTGTGGAGTTGGATCATATCTATTTAGAAA